CAACTCCAACAAAGAGCCCGCCGGGCAGTATCACTCTCCTAGTCAATACTACGATTTGCCCATGCATCCGCCAAAAATGGTTTTCAACCTTTACAGGAGGGAAAAAAAAAAGAGGGAGGGAGCTAAAAGAGCGGCTGGGATCTCTTTTCTTTTTTGTACAAGCTCTGCACTTAGATAAACCCCGAAACTGCATCTCATCAGATACACCAAAGCCTCCTGAATGTCAACCAAAGACATGGTAACACTTATTCCTGTATTTATCTCAGCCCCTGGAACCATAATAAATATGAAACATCTGTAGCCTAAATTCTGGATACTGTTTCAGCGCCTTCATTACATTAATCATTCAATTCGGAGGAGATTAAATACTAACGGCAAAGGGGTCTGTGCCATAAAAACGCGTTCCTCCTCAAAAGTTGATGGGGTTTGAGATCTTAACAATAGACACACTGTTACCCAAATATCGCTCTTATTTATCGAGACATCTTTTTGCACAGAAACAGGCGAGTTTCTACGGAGCGGGGGTCACGCGTGCGCGGGATGCCAAAGCAGCTCGAGAGCACACGATGGGGCCTTAGACATCCACGCCCCAACCCAAAAAACTGCAACGGGGTTCTCACGCCGTTAACTCATCTGCCACTGGCAGAAAAACGTCACGTTAGCGAATCCTGCTTTGGTGTTGAGGCGACGGCGCGCTGTTGTTCACAAGCTACGCTCTCGCCGGCCAGCCGGTGCTCAGACAACTTCTCCTACAGCAGGAGCTGCTTCCCCTGAAGCTCCTCCAAACCACCGCCCCAGCCCCGTGTGCGCGGCCGCAGGGCAACGCAGCGCCCGGACGGCTCATTTAGCTCTCCGAAAGCTGTAAAATTCAGCTTTCTGAAACCCGTAAATCAAATGCATCGCTGCGCAATTAAAAAAATAATAAAATAAATCGTTGCATGCTTTCCACCTGTTAATCTTGCAGCAGTGCATGGAGCCCGGATCTGCCTAGAGCTGCCTGTACATAGATCTGTATACAGATGCCCGTATAAATGCCCGTATATATGATTACTTCATACGTAAAACATAGTACAGAGAAAGGCAGTGGAATGACGACCACCGTAGGATAGACACAGGGTACAGCGCCCGCTCCGAAAGACAGCCAGGCTACGCTCGACCCCGGGCAGACCAGCCAACGCGAGTCCTCTAGACAACGTCTCGACCACGGTGCGAACAACCGGCAACGAAAATAGTGAGAGGGAGGGAGAGACTGGACTTTGTACGGACATTTCATGGCATGGGATCAAAAGTCGTGTTGTCACGGCAGCTGCAAAGCGCTCTGCGCATCCCCGCGTACACCAGCACTCCCCGGGGACAGCCGCCACGTCCATCCCCTTCACCCCGAGCCCACCACGTTGGGGCCGGACCCCGCCTCCCCCTACGCTGTGCTAGGGGTCCCTCCGGCAGCGCCCGCATCCGCGCGGCTCCGGCACGGCATCCGCCTCAGCGACAGCCAGGGGGGTACCGGCCCGGCGAAGGGGAGTGCGGTTCAGGGGCGCTTTTCCAGCCCCCCTGCACGCTCATCCCACTAGCCCGGAAAACGCAACCTTCATTCCTCCTGTCCCGGGATTAAAACGGCGCCTTTTTCTTTCTTTCTTTTTTTTTTTTTGGTCTCTCTCAGAAAAGGAATACATTCTTTCTTTAGATATAGATTTCTGTTATTTTTTTTAAATTCCAAACTTCCCCTTCAGAAGGCGCTGGGCAAAATACAGGCAACAAACGATGCCATCACAAGAAGACGACAGAACAACTGGAAGGTTTTACAGAAATCAAAAAAAGGAAAAGGAAAAAAAAAAAGTATTAAATCCATTACACTAGGAACAGCAAGAGACAGTATCACAGCGGTACGTGCTTTAATAAAGTAAAGAGATGCTGCAACATGCAGTATTTGTCAAACTGACAACATATACAGACCCCTAAGGGGGGGACGGGGGAGACCTGAACTGGAGTCCGGATTTTAGAGACAATGCACATAAAACGTTTCATAAACCTGCGATTCCCACCAAAAAAAAAAAAAAAAAAAAAAAAAAAAAAAAAAAGGGGGGAAGGGAGGGGAGCTCCCAGCTCCAGCCTCCGGCCGGGAGCGGTGCCGGGAGCTTTGGGCTGCGGTCGGTGCGATCCCGGAGCCGCGGCGCGTACCCCCACCCCGAGAGAAATCAGCTCCTGCCCACGCACCCGCGTGCGCCAGCGGCTGATTTCACCCCGCGCCCCC